TCTCACTCAGGCCTTAAGTTTCCCTCACCAATTTCAGCTATGGGGGTAGATGGGACCCATTCCTCCTCCCGGTGGTTGCGCACGCCTTTAATCCCAGCACTCGGGAGGCAGAGGCAGGTGGATCTCTGTGAGTTCGAGGCCAGCCTGGTCTACAAGAGCTAGTTCCAGGACAGGCTCCAAAACCACAGAGAAACCCTGTCTCGAAAAACCAAAAAAAAAAAAAAAAAAACCTTTGCCACTGCCTACCATCTTGCAGGACATTTTTTTTTTTCTCATTCGTTCTTAGCAATGCCTGCTTGCCCAGCACATTTACTGGGTGGAGATATTCTTAACTGCTTCCCCAAAGCTTTGTTCCACTTCTTGGAGCCCCTTTTAATCCCACTCATGTCAAAGATTCTATTTTACAGCTTCTCTTGCCAGACGTCTGCCCAGGCCAACCCACAAGGAGCTCTCCACATACACCAGGAGGGAAAAGATTGACAGGTTAATTTTACCCATATGCCTACTCATAAAAAATGCTGTTATCTCTTAACACTTGTGGACACTTTTACAGGATGGATAGAAGCATTTCCGTCTCCAGGGAAACAGCAGGTCTGATGGCTCAGGGTCATGGAGCTCATGTCCGAAGCTCTCAACATATCCTGGTCAATGGGACACATCAAACAATAACTAACCAAGCTCTCCATTGAACTCAGGTTATGTTGGCCCTCCCTTCTTCCCATTGCCCTGACTCGTCTAAGGGCCAGCCACCCCAAGTTCCCCTATGGGCCTCAGCACTTTTGAGTTGCTTTATGGCAGGCCCTTTCTTTTTAACCATCACCTCCCAGTTCAAACCCCTCCACTGGCAGTTTACCTACCTTACCTCTCTCTTTTAAGGTCCCTTCTCCATTCACACGCTGACAGTTGTCTTCCTGCCACCACACCAGTGGACCCGAATGCCCCTAATCCTGCCCTGCTCTCCCCAGAGGACAGAGTACTCCTCAAACACTTAACTCCTAGGTCTCTTGAACCTCGATGGACAGGACCTCACACCATAATGCTCACCAACCCCTCGACTGCCAAGCTCTTGGGACACCCATGCTGGTACCATCTCTCCAGGCTCAAGCAGGCACCTACTCAGGACACTTGGTCTGTCCAACAGACAGGACCTCCCACACTCCAGTTTTCCAGGATGCCACAATGAAGGGCGTACCTGCTCCTCATCCTGGCACTCTCATCTTGAGTGATAACAATTTTTTTCCTAGACCCCTGCCTTTTCATCTCCCCCAAGGAAAGGAACCGATGCCTGCCTTCTCAGGGATGACTGTTCATGGGATGCCTTTCCAGCCACATCTCTTTCTAAATGTGAACACCTGTCTCTCCCCTTCCCCACGCTGCCCATGCCCGCAGAAAGTAGGCAGATTTGAGTCTATGCCCTTTTTTCCCAAAAAGAGCCTAAGTGTTTGTCATAATTACCATTCCAATTTTCTGTCACCCCTATATCCAAAGAGTCTGGAATGTTAAAAAATTATGTGTCAATAGTACACATAATCTAGACTCTGTATATTTTTCATTTTTATGTGACTTATTATAATTTTTATTACTTCATTTTTTTTACGAATCTCTCTCTTGTCCCTCTTCTAAAGAGGTAGCTGCTGCCTCTCTCTGTTGACCCATCTTTCTCTTTTCTCCCTTTCTCTCTGACTCTCTCTTCCACCTTCTTCTTTCTTTCCCACTTTTCCCTTTCCCCTCCATAACCCAGTAAATAAACTCTATACCCAAACTCAAGAAATGAATCTCAGTTTAATCTTTTAAAATTAAATTTTAGTCTATGACACTACCCTTTATCCTCCTTCCCTCAAGCTTATATATATTTATCAAATCCATTGTGACCCATTTAGAGGCCTTTTTGTCTGAATCTGTCTATTGTATATCTGTAATCATTTTTTTTGACTAGGAGAGGTTTTTAAACTGTTAAGCAGGCATGGGTAGGATCACCACCACAGCTTTGGGTGTTGACTCCACTCCACTTGGCTTTCTAATGTGGCAGGATACCAGCAAGAGTTATGCTTACCTCCCCAACTTTGGCAAGTTTCTAAGTCCATGCTGCTAAAAATCATCAAGTAGCACACTGCTCATGAATCTCCTTTATCATAGGGTATCTCTGAGATTTTTGTCTGGGAAGAGCTGTGTGCTCCTGTGTTCTGGATGAATTTCAGTTCTGGTGTATTTCAAGCTTGGACAGCTCATGTTAAATCTACTGGCCAGAATATGATGTTCAGATGTTTTTAATGACTTATGGACAGAGAATTCCAGGTTTGGAATATTTGAGTGTTTATAGAATGGGGAGTTCAAATAGCAAGATGTTGTATGTGGCTTGTGCAGAACTATGTTCTGAGGTGCCATCCATTGGGTAATGAGGAGGGAAGTGATAATAAAGCACTCATAGAAGATACATTTCACAGTGTCTTGTGTAAGAAATAAAACCATGGGCTGGAGAGATGGCTTAGCAGGTCCAAGTGTTTACTGTTCTTCCAAAGCAGGCAAGTTTGGTTATTCCACTCACATCAGGAGGTATATAAGTTCCTCTAACTCTGGCTCCAGAAGGACTAATACTTTCTTTTAGCCTCCGTGGGCACCTGAACACACTTAATAAATGTGTTCGTGTGTGCCCATAGAAGCACACACACTCTACAGGTTCTCTTTCACCTGTGGTTGTGACACATCTGGTATAGCAGTGCCATTGTTTATTGAGACGCTACAAAGGATCTGACTGGGCAGTGGATAGATGAAGCAATAGATCATGGGAAGATGTACTTATCAATTGCTAATATTGAACAAACAACTGTTCACCCAGCACAATTCTTTGAAGAAGCATGCAAAAATACTTTATAAGAAGGTTTGAAAGGCTGAAATGGCAAGGTGAAGCCTCAATCCCTACAAAAACCTGGTGGAACTCTTATGCCATATAAGAGTGTATGGTTTAGATAAGAGAGTGTTCAATGTATTGGTCTCCAGGGGGCCTTCTCAAGCTAAAGAAGGAGAGAAAAATGGATCATTCCCCCAATTGTAGAACTACAGATAAACATTTTTAATGAAATTCACTTGAAGTTCATCTGGGAAATAGGGAGAGCAGAAGGCATGCATGAAAGGAGATTTGCATGGAGATATTAAGGGTGTCAGTGAAGAAGGGGAACTGCTGTCTTCTTCCCGCATGATCCTCAAAGGTTGTCCCCACCCCAAAACACCACCACCATCAGCAGGAAGAACAGGAGTTGCCCAAGTTCAAATCCCGCTTTCCACACGTCGTGCTCTATTCTGACCCTACAAATACGGTGCTCTACACAGTGTGTTCAAGAACCATTGTGAGCACGCCATGGGGCTCCTGCCTATAATCCCAGCACTCAAGTCTGAGGTGAGTGAGAGGACAGCCTGGGCTACACAGGAAGTAAAAGGCCATCCTGAGCTACATAACAAGATCATTTTTCAATGGATTTTAGGAGCTGGAGAGATGGGTGGCCAGTTCTAGAGACCCAGGTTTGATTCCCAGTACCCGTATTGGAAGCTCACAACCATCTACAACAAAATTTGGTCCCAGAGGGTCCACAAGGTCTTCCAGCTTCTGAGAGCACTGTACCCATGTGGTGCACAGACATGAATGGATGCAAGTCATACACATAGAATAAGACAGCAAGTCTTTAAATAAATTTTAAAACAGAGCAAAATAAAAAAAAAAGCCTAAGAAGCAACAAGCATCATGAAGTTAGGTAATATTCAGGGTAGCTACTCTAAAGTAATGAAGCTTCTGGTTCTAAATAGGGCCTGAGTACAAATTATTTCTATTTATCTGAAATTAACCAAAACACGGTTTGAATGTGGGTTATGTGTATGTGACTGCACACTCCCCTCTTGATGTGTGCATATTGGCGCCAGAGGTGGACTTTAGGTGTCTTGCTCAATCCCTCTTCACCTTCTTTCTTGAGACACTGTATTTCACTGAACCAGGATCTCACCTATTTGCATGAACTGGTAAGCAAGTCCCAGGGTTCCTCTAGTCTCTGCCTCTCCAATGTAGGGACTGCAAGATCGTTTCTCCACAGTTGGCATTTTTATATGTGTTCTGTGGTTCAAACTCGGGTCCTCATGGTTTCTATGTACAGACTGAGCTATCGCTCCAGCCCACACATGATGACTAATTTCGTTTGGTTTTTCAAGACAGGGTTTCTCTGTGTAGCCTTGGCTGTCCTAGAATTCACTCTGTAGGCCACCTTGGCCATGAACTCAGAGAGATTTGCCAAGCACTGCCTCTCTACTGCTGGGATTAAAGACATGTGGCAAGACAGACACCCAGGTTTAGCCCCCACGTACCTGACTTTGAAAAGTTAACAAGAGCTTTGCAAGGAGGTATGCTGAAAGTGCTGACACCTTGCATTTCCCGTGAAAAAGGAGGAAACCTGGGTAAAGACCACTAGGAAGGGCAAGTCTCATTTCTCTTCCCAGAGATGCTGGGTGCTAACATGAATCACTAGAAGTCAATGTGGGTCACAGAGCAACCATAAGGTCTGGACAAAGTCAGGATGAGGGGAGTAAATATGAAAGCTCATTGGTCCAGAACCATCATGGCCTGAGAAGAGAAAAAAGGAGGGATGGCAGCTCATTGGTTGGAAACTGAGTTGCTTGAGGAAGGACATGCATCTTCCTCAGAACCGAGCTCCTTGCTTCTGATCCGCTGGATACTGAGGTACCCACAGGGTGGCATCAAAAATAAGATCTGCCCATTCCTTGCCTGTTCTCCTCCCTCCACCATCTCTGGGAACCCAGGCTCTTTAGCTCTTTGCCTCCTTACTCAACTAAAGGGGAAACGCTGAAGACATCACTTACCCTGCCAACTCATGAGCATAGGTTGCAAGGGTTCCCAACTTCAGGAACCTGAAGGAGGCTCCTGCTCCTTTTGATGCAGGTGGGGCAGAAATGGATGGCTGGGTTTCCTGAGCAGAACCTGTATCTTTGAACTACTGTAGGATCCAGACAGACACATGGAGCATTTGCCAAGGAGGAGAAGAAATGTGTGCCCATGTGCCACTGTGAAATGTGGAGAAGCATCTAGAAGTCTGGCCAGAGGCTATGGCAGAAGGCATGGGTTTTCTGGATTGCAGAGGGAGCATGCCATCCTGAGATAAACAGCCTGGTGTGGAACTATCTCTTGGATTGAACATGGTATAACATTTGGACCTGTGTCAAAAAAATTACAAAAGATTTGTTTCAGTAGCAGAAGAATATAGGGGGAAAGGAGGATGGAGGAGTTTAAATGGAAGATTTCCAAGATTCTAGAGGACAATGGTATTTATTCTTGTTATTATTATTATTGTCTTTACTGTGGTTATTATTGGAGACAAGTTGTTCTGGTGTTATGAGTTGTCATCAGACTCACTATTCTCCTTCCTCAGCTTCCTGTGTAGTGGAATTTCAGGCAGGAGTCAGCCACGTTGGCTTGGGAAGAACATGATTTCATGAGGAGCAAGTGTTCAGTCACTTCCAAGGGGATCAAAGGAATTATTAAGATTAAAGTGGGGCTTGAGGATGAACCATAATCCAGAGAGAAGGGAATATATGGTATCCCTTGAGCTAATGACTATGTCCATTCACTTCCATGCTGGTGGTCAGAAGTCAAGTTAAATCAGGGCTCTAGGGAGACAATTAAACCAGGGATGCCAGTTGTCTTTGGCAGGGCACAGGACGAAGTAACAGAACAGAGAGTTGTGATTGCTGATGAAGATGTAGGAGCACCTGCCTGTGCCTCAAAATGTATGTGTGTGTGTCTGTGTGTTTCTGTGTGTGATGTGTGTCTGTCTGTGAGTGTGTCTGTGTGTTTGCATTTGTGTGTGCATGTGTGTGTCCATGTGTATGTATACATGTGTGAATGGTTGCATGTGTCTGTTTTGTGTGAATGTGTGTGTCTGCATATGTGTCTGTGTTTCTTTGCATGTGTGTGTCTATATGTGTTCATGTGTGTGTCTTGTGTGTATGTGTGTTTCTGTGTGTTCATGTGTGTCTCTGTGTGCATGTGTGTGTATGTGTGTGTTCATGTTTGGGTCTGTGTGTGCATGCGTGTCTGTGTGTATGCATGTGTGTGCATGTTTGTACATGTGTGTGCATGAGCATGTTCATTTGTGTCTCTCTCTGTGTGTATGTGTGTGTCTGTGTATGTGTCTCTGCGTGTGTGCATGCGTGTCTGTGTGTATGCATGTGTGTGCATGTTTGTACATGTGTGTGCATGTGCGTGTTCATTTGTGTGTCTTTCTCTGTGTGTATGCGTGTGTCTGTGTATGTGTCTCTGCGTGTGTGCATGTGTGTGAATTTGTGTGCTTCTGTGTGTGTGTGTGACTGTTTTAGGGGCCATGAGTGGTGATGAGCAGGGAAAGTCATGATTAGGCTTCCATGGTGCTTGAGTGAACAGGTGGTTAGGAGAAGGTGAAGTGTGAGAGAGACCTGTATGATGGAGAGTCTGAGTGACCAGGTAAAATGAAGGGTAAGACAAAGACCATGATACAAAGAAGGGAGAGAAAATTGGTCCCAGTCATGAGCAGGATGGAGGACAGGAAGAGTCTAGGCACCAGAGACAGAGTTATCTGTTAGCAGTGTAAGTGCACTGGAGGGTAGGAATTCCGGCAGCCATTTTGGTGACCTGCCCTAACTGTAGAGCCATGGAACATGGAACTTGACGAATGTTCTGTTTCCTACTGGACTCCTGAGTAACTTAACGCTGGACCAGATCACCAAAGAGGGGGTAAAACTTGGTCCCAGAGGACCTGTAGTTTGCTCTGACCGTGTCTTGCCATAGGATCAGAAGAAACTGGGGGTGTAACAGGTTTGTGCCTCTTCCAGATGTGTACATACACTGTCTCAGGTGTGTACTACCTCTAGGGCAGAGGCCAGGCCTCCTGCTGTATGTGTGACTAACTTGACTCTTTCAATCCCTACTTCAGGGACTCTAGTGGGGTCTTGTCTGCCGTGAGTTCTGTGAAGAACGTAGAATACACAGAGAAAGTGGAATCTCACTTGAGGCTATGGCTACTAAGGGCAACTCTCACGTGAATGTTAAGCAGGGTCTCGCCCAACCAGGAACCATGGGTGAGTGTCTCTGGCCATGGAGGGGTCTCAAGTGGCAGCAGTAATCCTAAATGCTTCCGTCACCAGCCATGCCACAGAGTTGTCACTCGACCTTGTACAAACCCTCCCTCCCCAGATCTAACCTGTTCAGGTATACTATCTGTGCCAAGTATCACGTTTTTACAGAAAGGAGAGACATTGTGGGTGGGATATTAAAAGGACTGATGGTGACCCAAATCCTCAGTTGGGGAGGGGGTGGAGTTAGGTACTTTCAAGGGAATATGGTGGGAAGGGAGACTCAGTCAAGCTCTGCATGGTCTTTTCCAGATGGGCAACAGGGCATCGTTCAGCAGCCTGAAGCCCTGCCTCACACAGTTGTGCAGCAGGTAAGGAAAGTAATTTGCTACGAGGAGAGTCTCTATGCCAGAAGTCACTGTCCAGACAAATTCAAGTGTGTCCTAAACTCTGAGATTCCAGCACCAATTCTCGGTGCATTGCGACCTTGGGAAGATAACTTCTCTTTGGGGCTCAGTGTCCTCCAGTAGAGGAATAACCAAAACATTGAGTCTGTGTGGCTGGTCACCAAGGTCTTGAGAGCCCTGCCATCCTCCATGGTCATCACCAAGGTCTTGAGAGCCCTGCCATTGTCCATGGCTGTCACCATTTTAATACAGTTCTGTCCCTTGAGTCCTGGTGTTCAGATTTGATCTTCAACGTGGATGTCTTTCTTTGCAGGACATCACCCAGGTGCCTCTGTTGCTACACTGGCCCACAGCAATTGTACCTCTGAACTATGTTCCAGCGAATTTGAATCCTCAAATGACCATTACTTTTTCATGGAATCCCAGCCAGCCGGTGACTATACCTTGCACGTGAGTACAACAGAGACCATGGAGGATGCTGTGGCTAATGGTACTGTCTCCAAACTCGAGCTTGGTGCTGCAGCATTAGGAGCAGCAAGAAGGAGGAACAAGAGAGGAAGGAAAACATGGAGCAAGAGGAGAGGAAAGAAAGGAAGGAGGAAGGAAGGGAGGGAGGGAGGAGGGAACGAAAGATGGGAAGGAAGGAATTAAGGAAGGAAGGAAGAAAGGAAGGAAGGAAGGAAAGAAGGAAGGAAGGAAGGAAGGAAGGAAGGAAGGAAGGAAGGAAGGAAGGAAGGAAGGAAGGAAGAAGGTAGGGACAAAAAGATCTAGGGGAATGACAGAGCTACATTTCAGCCTAACTTGCAAGAGAGGATCTTCCCAGATTTAGTATTTGCTGAACAACATGCTAGGGAAAGCATCCTTCTAAGTCACTCACTCCCTGTGGGCATGCTTGGAAAATATTCTACACAGGAGCATTAGAGAGGACAAGCATATTGCATACAGCAGGCAGTGGACTACAAAATGCTGATACTATCTATCTACGCTGAAATGAATGGACACGGGAGAAGGTTCTGCTGAAATCTGGAGTAATAGTCGAAAGGGCCAGAGAGGCCCAGGGAAACGTTTCTGGCCCACAGAGAATGTGTCTGCTAAATGAGCTCTCTTATCCTTCATGATCAGTGGGGAGTGGGCAAAGTGGAGGAAAGACCTAGTCTCTGCAGAGGACCATACTCTCATCTTTCCTGGTGCGGTGCAGATCAGAATAGCTGTTGGTCATCTTCAGTGTACCCGGGAAGGAGAGGGTTCACAAAAAGTAGTGTCTCTAGGAGGATCTAAGGAAGGAGGTTGGAGGGAAACCAGGTCAGGTAGTGTGAGGGTCCATCCGAGGACCAGGGGACTAGTGTCATTTGTCCTAGTGTCCACACTCATTCACAATCCCTCAGCCTAATCCCTCAGAGCCCCCGGCCCTCCATATGGTAGTTGTCATCCAGAGTGTTTAACCTCCTGGCTTCTCCTCTGCATGTTCTCAGGACCTCTAACATGATCTTGGAGCCCTGCATCTGCAGTATCCCGCTTGTAGTGCCGTCACACGACATGGTAAATGAGTGGGTCGAGGTTCTTTGAAGGGATGGGCTTGGTGGATGAGAGGAGGAGAAGCTCACAGAGATGGGTGTTTGGTGGAAAGGAATGGAGGCTGGAAGGCCCACTGTGGTCGGGGAGGTGTCTTGTCAGAATTCACTCTCTCGTATCTCTTCCATTGCATCTGTGTCCAGGGCCCTGGCAATGCCAACCAGACCAATGATGTCATCTCCACCCAGACCAATGATGTCGCCAACCAGCAGGGTCTTGAAGTCAACACCCAACTGCCAGGTGTTTCCAACCACGGTGCACTCCCTGCTGAGGGAGATAGGCAGAAGACATTGGAGGCTGCAGGGACACTTCTGATTCTTCATAACTCCCCTCAGGCCTAGCAGGAGACTTCCAGCATACCAGGTACCTGGCTCCTTGAACGAGGAACAGGGGGTGGACAGGGTGCGGAAAACGGAGGGCTCCTGACGAGATACTGGAGGCTAGAGTGGGTTAATTCATCAACTTGGAGGCCAGAGCCTTGAGCTCTTCAGTCTGATTAAGAACTGGTACCCAGGGTCTGCTCAGTACATCTTCGCTTTCAAGTGTTTTGCTCAACAGCAGAGGGCCAGTATCCTGAAGTCAAGAAAAGTAGGAGGCCTTCAAGGTGGCAAGTTCTTTATTGAGGGCAGGCCGCAAGCAAAGTGGAAGGAATAGGGCCTGGTGGATTGAATCCCAGCCCACAGTGGTGTCCCAGTCTGCGCCAGCCTGAGAAGGCCTGGGAAGATATGCGCAGGGGATAAGGGCCTCTAATGAAAGGAGATGGTCCTGTGGACTCAGGACACGTTCCATGTAGACATGGAACGATGATGCCTTCTGAAGCTGACTTTAGCCAGCACATCACAAGTCCATCAAGGAAGGAATCTGTGAGTGCAGAGGAGAATTTCACAGTCAGCGAGGCTGGAAAGAGGCTTCTGAGTAAAACTGGTCAATGAAGAGCACTGTGTGAATGGGAAGCCGCTCTGGGTGGATGGTGTGGAACAGGGGATGTGCAATGAAGCTGGAGAGCTTGCTTCTCAAAGAGGTCTACCTGGGTTCATGATGTAAGCTGTGCCAGAAACTCTGGGGCCAGGGCTGAAAGATGCAGGCTTCTTGTCAGAGCAAGGATCTTATTCAGAGATCTTGGCCTTGACCTGAAGGAACCTACAGCTGGGAGTGATGGTGGCACGAGTACTGGAGAGAAGGAGTTCAGGTAGGAACAGTTCTGTTCATCAGTCCCTGGGAAAATCTAAGAGCATTTGTTTGGTACATTGCGTGATGACAGGAGAGCCAGGCAGTGACATATTTGTGATCTGACTTTGCCTTTGCATGTCTTTCTGCAGGTCCTGATGGGGAGTGAAGACTACAGCTGTCCTGCCTCTGGATGTCACCGCTTCAGCCTACACACTCTGCTTCACCCAATGATACCTGAACATCTTGATAGCACCCCACTCTGGCCCTAAGTGAGATACAAAGCTGGGCTGCCATGGACTTCCTGTCGTTGACTGAATTTGCAACATAGTTCCTGTCCAAACTCATTATATCTTATTCTTGGGCCTTTATTTGAAGCACCTGAATCTTCCAGTGTGTCATAAAATCTGCACTGTGCTGGGCATTATCAACTCTCTGTTCACAAGATTCAGAGTCCTTAACTTGGCAGCCCTTTTTGTGTCTTCATTGTTTGCATATGCAAATAGTCCTAATGTAGACATGTCTTTGGATATGTCAAGGTTCTTCAACTGGGTTGAGTAACCTGTGTGTGAACATGAATAAAGTTTCATTGTTGTAAAGCACTGAGAAGTATAGACTGACTCTTTAAAAAACATACACCAGTATGTTCAGCGAGTCTGGTTTTATCCCAGGCCTTTTCAGACCCAGGCCAGCTGGCCTTGTTGAGTTCCCGATAGAACATCTCCATTGTCTCAGTGTGTGGGTGCACCCCTCGTGGTCCTGAGTTCCTTGCTCGTGCTCTCTCTCCTTCTGCTCCTGATTTGGACCTTGAGATTTCTGTCCGGTGCGCCAATGTGGGTCTCTGTCTCTGTCTCCTTTCATTGCCTGATGAATGTTAATATTCAGAAGGATGCCTATATGTTTTTCTTTGGGTTCTCCTTCTTATTCAGCTTCTCTAACGGACAATGAGGACTACTGAGAACTCAAGAACAATGGCAATGGGTTTTTGATCCTACTGCACGTACTGGCTTTGTGGGAGCCTAGGCAGTTTGGGTGCTCACATTACTAGACCTGGATGGAGGTGGAGGGTCCCTGGACTTCCCACAGGGCAGGGAACCCTGATTGCTCTTTGGGCTGACGAGGGAGGGGGATTTGATTGGGGGAGGGGGAGGGAAATGGGAGGCGGTGGCGGGGAAGAGACAGAAATCTTTAATAAATAAATAAATAAATTTAATAATAATAAAACAAAAAAACATACACCAGATATTTGGGATCACTGCCTTCTTTGCTACGCTAGCTGAGAGTTTGTTATTTGTTTTATTAAGGCACCGAGATCACCAGGTATTGGGTAGAAGGCTTTGTCAAAGGTGCGGCCTCCTTATTGACTAACCATCTTGGGATCTGTAGTACAACCTCTGAACAGGACTATTGCCTGTCCCATGGCATATCAGTCTTTGCCATCTGGATGGAGTGAATTGGGATTTGGCCGAAAACACATTGTTCCACCTCATATTGCATAGTTTACTAGTAATGCATTGTTAAAGCTGTTCATGCCATATTGTAGAGAGAGACTGCTCTTTCTTTTTTTTGGCTGCACAGATCCAAATAATCACACAGAAACTATATTAATGACAATATTGCTTGACCAATAGCTTCGACATATTTCTAGCTAACTCTTATATGTCAAATTAATCGATTTCTATTAATCTGTGAATCATCACGAAGCTGTGGCCTACTGGTCAGGCTCTGGCTGGTGTCTGGCTGGCGTCCTTCTTCTTTGGCATCTACATGGTGTCTCTTTTACTCTGCCTAATTTCTCTTCATATCTCTGTGAGGACTTGCCACCTGTCTTGACTCTACTAAGCCATTGGCCGGCACAGCTTCTTTAATAACCAATGGGAATAAGACATTTCCATAGCATATAGAGGGGAACCCAATATCATCATATGTCAGATTTGTTGCAATCGTTCCAACCCCATCCTCCCTTGGCTCCCAGGATCTAGTCCCCTGGGACACTAATCATATGATGTAAAGAATCACATTTTAGGAATTAAGCTGTATATATTGCTGTGCTTTCAACTTTCATGCTGATTATGGTTTTAGAAGTCCCTGATCCACAGCACCCAACTTAAAATGTATTTCAGCTTTGAAGTGAAAATAATACACCTATTGACCATGATTGAAAAGTAATTTGTAACTGTGGTTTTGCATTCATATCTTTACACTCAATACAAACGAACAGTGTATTTCTTTGTCGTTTTTAACACGAAACATGTATTTTGTTCATAAAGGGAGTCGAAACAAAAATTTCATGTTCAAGGAAACCATTGTAAATAGTTAACCTTTACACATATCTTGCACTAAAATCTTTATGTCTAAATTTGCTGTGAGTTGAAGCATATGTACAACAAGATTGTTTCCTGCTGACATGTAGAACCTGCTTTGTGGTCCTTGAAATGATTATCAAGAACTAAAAGAAAAGAAAACAATATTTAAGGCATGATGTGGAAATGCAGTGTAGACTCGACCGCAAGAGCTTTTCTCAATCATGGCCAGAAATGTCTCAAATCTGCCGAATCCTCTGTTAGCCAGTAAAATTGTAAGTCTATGCAAAGAGAAAGCATCTCTGGCAACAGGATTTCTGCATTTGAAGAGGCTGACTCTTGTCCATTGCTGCTTCTTGAGACCCTTTCTGCACATGTTCAGTGGCTTTTTCAGAGGAATGCATTGATGCAGGTGGGTCTTCTGTCCATGTGTTACTTTCATTGGTCAAATAATGAGACTGCCTTGGCCTTTGATAGGACTGCAGCTTAGATAAGTGGAGTAGACAGAAGAAGAGACAGACACCATAGCTCTCCTCTCCGAGATAGAAGCAGGGTAGCATCTTCCCGGTAAGCCACCACCTCGTGGTGCTACACACATACATAGAAATGGGTTAATCAAGATGTGAGAGTTAGCCAGTAAGAGGCTAGAGCTCATGGGCCAAGCAGTGTTTAAATGAATACAGTTTCCATGTAATTATTTTGGGTAAAGCTAGCCCGTGGCCAGGAGCCGGGTGGCAGGATGCGGCCCACAGCTCCTTCTACAATGCATTAACACAGGAAGGCCTCTTGGTCAAAACACCTTGTGTACCCAAAGCAAGGCAACTCCCATCCTGGTAAAATTTGAGAAAGTTTCTGGTCTTTTTCTTTATATTTTTGTTCGTTTATTCATTTACTTCTTTAATCTTCTCTCATATATGATCCTGACTGCAGTTTTCCCTCCCTTCTCTCCTCCCAGTCATTCCCCCCACCACTCCTCTCCTTCAGACCCACTCTTCCTCTGTTCCCTATCAGAAATAAGCACGTCTCCCAGGCATATCAACCAAATATGGCATATCAAGTTACAGTAAGACTACAGACATACCCTCCTATCAAGACTGCAGTAGACAGCTCAGGAGGAGGAAAGGGGTCCGGTCCCAGGAGCAGGCCAAAGAGTCAGAGACTGGGCCATCCCCACTATTAGGAGTCCCACAAGAACACCACGCTACACAGTCATAACATTTATGCAGAGGACCTAAGTCAGACTCATACAGGCTCCCAGATTGTCACGTCAGTCTCTGTGAACCCCTTTGAATCCTAATGAGTTGATTCTGTGGGTTGTATTCCTGTGGCTCCTGCAATCCCCTCTGGCTCCAATAATACTTCCTCCCCTTTTCTGAAGAGGCATTCCCCGAGTTCCACCTACGGTTTGACTGTGAGCCTCTGCTTCAGTTAGGGTTTCCATTACTGAGAAGAGACACCACAACCACAGAAACTCCTGTAAAGGAAAACATTTGATTGTGGTGGCTCGCTTTCAATCCAGAGGTTCAGTCCATTATCATCATGGTGGGACAAAGTGACATGCAGGAGAACATGCTGCTTGAGAGGTAGTTGAGAGTTCTATATCTTGTACAGGCTATAGAAATTGGTCTGATACACTGGGTGTGGATTGAGCCTATCTGAGACCTGAAAGCCTGCCTCCACAGTGATGCACTTCCTCCAACAAGGCCAAACCAACCTCAACAAAGCTCACACCTAATAGAGGCATTACCTTTGTGGGTCGTTTTCTTTCAAACCACCACATTCCACACCCTGGTCCCCAAAATCTTGTGCCATATCATTATGAAAAAATGCATTCAGTCAAAATTTAAAAGGCTCCGTAGTCTGTTACTGTTTCAACAATGTTTAAAATTCCAAGTCTCTCCATTTAATTAGATGTTAGCTGTCGGCTTGCTGTATATACCTTTTATTATATTTAGGTATGACCCTTGTATCCCTAATCTCTCCAATACTTTTATCATAAAGGGATGTTGAATTTTGTCAAATGCTTTTTCAGCATCTAATGAAATGATCACATGGTTTTTTTATTTCAGTTTATTTATATGATGGATTACATTGATAGTTTTTCGTATGTTGAACCAGCCCTGCATCCCTGGGATGAAGCCTACTTGATCATAATGGATAATTTTTCTAATGTGTTCTTGGATATGGTTTGCCAGTATTTTGTTGAGGATTTTTGCATCAATGTTCATGAGTGAGATTGGTCTATAATTTTCTTTCTTGGTTGAGTCTTTGTGCGGTTTTGGTATCAGGGTAACTGTAGCTTCATAAAAGGAATTTGGCAGTGCCTCTTCTGTTTCTATATTGTGAAATACATGAAGGAGTATAGGTATTAGTTCTTCTTGGAAGTTCTGGAAGAATTCCGCATTGAAGCCATCTGGTCCTGGGCTTTTTTTGGTAGGGAGGTTTTTGATAACCTCTTCTAATTCTTCGCGACTAACAGGTCTATTTAGGTTGTTCACCTGGTCCTGGTTTAACTTTGGTATATGGTATTTATCTAAGAAAGTGTCCATTTCCTTTACATTTTACAGTTTTGTGGCATATAGGCTTTTGTAGTAAGATCTAATGATTCTCTGAATTTCCTCTGTGTCTGTGGTTATGTCCCCCTTTTCATTTCTGATCTTATTCATTTGCAAATTCTCTCTCTGCCGTTTGATTAGTTTGGATAGGGGTTTATCAATCTTGTTGATTTTCTCCAGGAACCAGCTTTTTTGTTTCATTGATTCTTTGTATTGTTTTCTGTGTTTCTATTTTGTTGATTTCAGCCCTCAGTTTGATTATTTCCAGTCTTCTACTCCTCCTAGGTGAGTCTGCTTCTTTTTTTTTCTAGAGCTTTCAGGTTAGCTGTTAAGTCTCCAATGTGAGCTTTCTCTGTTTTCTTTAAGTGGGCACTTAGTGCTATGAACTTTCCTCTTATGACTGCTTTCATAGTGTCCCATAAGTTTAAGTATGTTGTTTCCTTATTTTCATTGAATTCCAGGAAGACTTTAATTTCTTTCTTTATTTCTTCCTTAATCCAGGTATGGTTCAGTAGTTGACTGTTCAGTTTCCATGAATTTGTAGGCTTTCTGGGGGTAGGATTGTTGTTGAATTCTAACTTTAATCCATGGTGATCTGATAAGACACAGGTGGTTACTAATATTTTCTTGTAACTGTGGATGTTTGCTTTGTTACCAACTATGTGGTCGATTTTTGAGAAGGTTCCATGAGCTGCAGAGAAGAAGGTATATTCTTTCCTATTTGGGTGGAATGTTCTATAGATGTCTGTTAAGTCCATTAGAT